TTTTCACAATAGTGCGATTTTTTTTTTATATAATTTTTTTGGGGGGCACAACCCTCGGATTGGGGACACAACCCCTCCGTCCCCCCCGGGATTTACGCCCATGCCTAGATCAACCTTGGGCCATTGTGAGGAGCCCTGTTGGTGCCATCTCCTGCGCTTTGGGCCTCTCTCCAGCGTTCACAAAGGAAATGTGCTGACACCCCGGTTCCTGCCTTTTGGATTTGGCAATGGCTGAGGCAAGAGTTTCCACTACTGTCTTTAGTATCTGGTCATGGCGCCAATCGTAACAACCCACTCCCAGGGCTTTTGGGCAGCAACTGAGAATGTGCTCCAGAGTCCCTGCTCCAGAACACAGGGGGCAGGCAGGACTCTTGGCTCAGCCCCAGCTGAAGAGTCGGGAGCACATCATATACTGACTGGTCAAGGACCTCGATATGCTGGGGTTCAGCCTGCTGTAAGTCAGACTAAGCTATTTTCCGGTCCACTGCCTGGTCCCATTGGTTCCAGGCTCCCTGTAGGGTGCATACCTCCTCCACACGTGCTCTTACCTCCTGATGAACCAGCTGGTGCCTGGTTCTGCCCCTGATGCTGGCTTGGTCATAGCTTGGTGTTGGATTATTAACAAACCCGGCCGACCCAGATGCCAGCTTGCTCCACAGCAACCTGGGCATCCCATTTCCTCCCAGTCCTCACCTCAGTACCAACACAAGCTACCTTGGGGTCAGTGGAGTCTCTATACTGCAGCACTTTCCTTGTATGGGAGACCATCGACTCAGGAGGCCAGGTTTGTGGACTGCAGTCAGATGGTTCTGCAGATCTTGCTCAGTTGCCTTGATGGATTCCCTGCCTTTCACTGAGCCATTAAACACTTTGCCCAGGCTCTTTACTGGCTTCTCTATATATGGAATCTTTATGCCTCCCAGGGAAGAGCTAAACTGGTCTCTGCCACCTTCCCTCTCCTCAGCACTAAGGACCTGGACTTTGCTGGTTAGAAGTTTATTTTCTGGTGCAGTGCAAAAATCCCAAAACCATAACAAATTAGTTAAAAAAATAAAACAAAAATACTTAAAACAAATTAAATTAATAAGTCATAAAGATAATCCACCAAAAACGTATTCCACATGTGCCCATGTTATGAGCTTCTGCAGAACCTTCTGCAACAACCTACAGTCTGGGAGCGATGTTGTGGTCACTGTGAGGTCATCCATAAATGCCCAAATTGGTGGATAACGAATATCAGACTTGGATAGGGGGTCTCTACACTTTGCTTCAGCAGATTTGGTCAGAACGTTCATGGCCCGGGCAAAAAGGCTCACTGAATTGGTGATTATCCAGTGATTATTGCCTTCTCCAATCTGTGCCACTCCGATGTAACTGACCCTGAGGTGACTCTCAATCTGAAGTCATTGTAGTGGTCAAGAATGAGGTCCTTATTCTTCTCTGGGACATGATGGCGAATGAGGGCAGTGTCCACCAGTTTGTGGGGTATGGAGCCATATGCATTGGCCAGATCTAGCCAAAGCACAGCCAGGTCTCCTCTCCCTTCCTGTGCTTCTCAGGTCATCTGAGTGATCACTCATGTGTGTTCAAGGCACCATGGTACCTGAGGGATCCCACCCTTCTGCACTGATGTATCGATGTACTGGTTCATTAAAAGACATTGTTTCACACGTCGGGCGACAATGCTAAATAGTTTCGCGCTTTTCATAAGATCTCATTGCTGGCATGCTAGTTCATTTATATACCTTTTTCTGTATTTATATTGCAAGACCTATTTGGCTGCATTACACTCTACAAGGCTACAGCCGGCTATTATAACAAATGTTTGTTATGAGTCATAAGTGATAAAGTATTTTGGAAAACAAACATGGTTATCCCATGAATATAGATTTTCCTTAATCTATGGTTATTGAAAAAATCTTTTGAGTCATAAGTGGTAATGTATTTAGAAAAACAAGATTATCCCATGAAATATTGCAATTCATTGTTTTTTTTTTTACCCCAGTGCGTACCAAGGTGCACCATTTACTCTTTTCTCTGTAAAACCATTTAGGTTCGAAAAATAAGATCAAATTTGGTGCAATAAAGTGTGGGGAACACATATTTGAAATATAACAAAATCCACAATGTATTTTTGAGACATTCAGAAAATTCCAAAACACAAAGATGCATTTTTAAAATATATTCTACTGTCCCTAAACTGGAGGAATGCTATGGATTTCAATAATTCAAGTGAATATGATTAATTGAACAGTTGTGTCCTTTGGTTTTAGGCATCAAGCATGTCTCTCTTTTACAATCGGTGTTATAAATCTTCAAATGCAGGAGGGGCAACCCTTGACATGTTTACTGCCATCTGTGGTGTCCCCTTCATGTGGGATGATGTGTCCTACACAGCAAGACAATGTGATGAAATGTCTTAAGTGTCCTTCTTATGGGGAGAAGGTGATGCAGTTCAATGTTACTTTCATTACTAACCTATTATTCAATGTTGCTATAAAGTGTTAAGACAGCCAAGTGAAATTTAACATACTGAAGGACAAAGGTGTGAATTGAACCAGCAGGTGGCAGCAAAGTACAAAGCAGTGGTTGCACAGGTCCCCACTAAACAATCAAGCCTTGAAGTTTGTTCATTTATTTACACTAATGCATATTAATGAGCTTGTATATTTATTCAGACCTGTGGTTTGTATTGGCCCCTCCTACTGCTTCTCTCTGATTGGATCCCCTCTTTCTACAGGAGCTCCAGTGCAGCTGAATGGTGATGATGGTGCAAATCAGATACAACACACCAGTCCCAGCTTTCAGTACAGCATCCAGAACCTGCTCCCACCTGTCAGACATATAATACATCAGTGTGTCTGTCAGTCACACGTATCACATTTAAACCTGAAGAACAATGCAGTGAATCAACTCTGACAGAATTATAACCATCAACAGCAGCACCAATAAGCCCAGTCCTACATACAGAGCCAGCTGGACCAAGGAGCTGAATAAGAGGGTGGATCTGAACAGTAAAGTCTTACATGCTTTATAGCAACACAGTACAGTGACATATGAAACACTTCACACGTTATACATAAGGAACAAGCGACATTAACAAAGAACAGAATTTCAACTGCTTATTATGGATATTATATAATTTACAAAATCCAAACAGGCCTGCAGTCTATCCTGAGCAGCACAGGGCGCAAAGCAGGGGCTCAGCCTGGATGGGATGCCATCTCACATATTTTAAGTGAAATAAAATCAAAACAAAAGGGAAGTTTCCTATTTCTGTATGATTAGGTAAATGCTGCTAGCTGGACCCCCACACTACTGTAAATGCTGTTGGATGCTTACCTTGGTTTATCAGTATTCCCTCCATCTTCATCATGTCCCAAAATAACTACTGTAGCGGAAACAGGACAAAATATTGTTAATTTAAAAATTGTTTAAACCAAGTTCTGTTAGTCATAAAGATCTTTCAGTACATTCATGCAGACACATAAAACTACAGCCATCCACCCATCTATCTTCTAACCCCTCCTCCTGGTCAGGGATGCGGGGCCTGGAGCCGATCCCAGGCAGGACAGGGCACAGGGATGGAGTACATCCTGGACGGGATGCCAGTCAGTCACAGGGCACATAGACACACTCTCTCTATTAGAGACACCAATTAGCCTGACTGCATGTCTTTGGACTGTGGGAGGAAACCCACACAGCACATGGAGAACATGCAAACTCCACACAGACAGAGCAGAAGCCAGATTCAAACCCCTAAGCATGGAGGTGTGAAGTAACAGCGCCACCCACTGGTCCACTGTGGCACCTGCATGGAAACTATAACGTGGATAGATACATAACAGCTGATAAATGGGGGAATTTAAAGAGTTATTTTAAAAGGCAATAAATAATATTTAAATGCATAATCTAGGGTCCTTTATTCGCCCTGGTGCCTGTTAGAAAAACCTTGGTCAACACAGCATTTATTTGTTTAGCATTTATTTAAGCATAGCCTAAAAAGTAAGGAAATTTGTATTTGGTCGATTGTTTCATTTTTGTTATTATCGTTCTTGGCAATAAATCTTACACTGTTGGAAAGCGTGTTTATTTCCCTTTTAAATTGTGCCACATTTGTAGGCAAAATGCATTTGTGGGCTGAGCAGCATTGCTGAGTATGTGGGTTACGCCCATGAAAAACTTGTCAAATCCTCTCTGCCAATGCTAATGACTCTTGTTTGGTGTTGTTTACTGGAGTCTTAGTGGCGTGTGGAAGAACCATACACAGCCACAACAGCCTGGCACCTCCACCTCATGCTGGGCACCAGCTCGTTCAAACACTGCTGTGAGATGGCATCCCATTCTTCAAGCAGCATTTGCATTCTCCATATCTTCTCCACACTTTGACCCTACAATCCGACTGCCGTAGGCAGAATCTGGACTCATCGCTGAACATAACGTTTCCTCCACATGTTCAGGTTCCAGTGCAGGTGTTGCCGACACCTGCGCAATCAGGCCTGACGGTGAATGGCAGTCACGGCAGGCCCCTTGGCAGCCCTATGAGACCGACCGGAGATTGGCTGTGTGCAGTCTGTTCCTAATAGTCTGGGTAGAGAGCCGTCGGCCATATCATCCTGCAAACCTCGCCTGCAAATCTGTAGAAGACTGCCCCTGCATCCTAAGTGCTGACAGGGCAAGGAAACGTCTTTCTTCTGGTGTCGTCTTCTTGGGACACCCACTTCGCGGCCTGTCTCTGACAATCCCCCGTTATATGGAATTTGGCCTTCAGTTTGGAGATGGTACTAGGATTCACTCCAAATAATGCTGCAACTCAGTTTGGCGGAACACCAGCTTGAAGTTGTCCTATGACACGGGCCCTCTCCAGATCAGTCAAACGTAGCATATTTGGATCAGACACCAACTGACCACTGTAGCTGGGCCCATACTCACAGGTGCTGCTAATCAGACGGGAATCAGGTACTCGACTGTCAGCACCTGGGGTACCAGAGACTCAAAACAAAGGTCAATAGCAATAGTTTATTCACCTTGGTAATACCCTGGTAAACACCCCTCCCTCCTGCACGATTATCCCCACAAAAAAGCACAGACCCCCTTTGTTAGTGACACTTTTGGGATCATTTAGTATTTATCTATTTGTATTGAAGCATAAACGATTCACAGCCAGATTTAAATTAATTACTTACATTCAGTGCTGGTTGTGGTTGTAGTTGTCTGACTGACAGTAATATGAACTGGGATCTGGTGGTACCCAGCAGCACACCAGTACCAGCCTGTGTCCTTCCTCTCCAGTGCCCTCATTGTCACACTGAAGACTCTATTTACTGTGTCATCCCTGATCAGGACAGGCCTCCCATCCAAACTCCCTGATCTCTCTGATGTACAGGAGCCCCTGATCTTACACCACAGCTTCAGACTGTCACTGTTTCTATAGCGACACTGAACACTGACACTGTCTCCTTCCACACCTGTCACCTCCTGTTTGTCCACTGACAGCTCTGGGGAACCTGAACACAGATTAGGAACAAACACTGTGATATTTACACAGTAATAAAATATTTATAAATATGAACCAGTGAAAACAAGTTTTTTTATGTTTGTCTAATACGGGCATTTATTAACATATTACTTATCATATTTAACCCCCTGAATTAGCTCATTTGAACTAACATTGTTACTTCTCCCAGGTCTCATTTATCATACTGAATAAAATTTAAATGTGCAGCCTGTTCTATATAAATAAATAAATAAAATGTGCATTTTAAAATATGCAAAATATTCTCCTTCCTTTCTGACTGAATGACATGTTACATACTGTGCATCTCATTGGCTACAGTCTGCAGTACAGACATCTTACCATTAGTGACTGACAGGTAAAGTGATGCTCCAGCATCTGAATCTACACTGATCTTCACACCACAGGAGTAATAACCAGAGTCCCCAGCTGTCAGATTGTTGATGGTCAGAGTGAAGACTCGCTGGTCAGGATCATCTCTGATTGACACTTTACCCTCCTGTGGAGAGTCACTGTGTACTATGGGAGTACATGCATCCCTATAATCCCCTCTGCACCAGTATTTCACATGAGTTTTATATCTGTCACCATAGAAACATGGGATGGTGACAGATCCTCCTCTCCATGCAGACACCCTGCTCACTGTGGACACACTGTCAGCACCTGTGGGGAAATAAAGATTTTCCACATCACAGCATCTCTGAGTATTAATGCTTGGTCTGTATAATACTTGGATTAGGGTCACGTGTGTTTAGCAGAACCATGGGGATGCTGTAAAAGACACAGACTGTCATTTTGTCATAAGGACAAGAGAGAGACACAGGAAATCAAAACAGGTGTTGGATCTTGGGAAGGGTTACAGCAGGGTGTGGGATCGGGAACCTGAGCCTGGGAGTGTGTTCTAGGGTCTGAGAGGAAAACCAGGACCTTAAATCAGTAGTAAAAGGCCCAGATGAGGTGAATGAATGGGCTGGTCACTGTGTGGGATGGCCACACCCCTTCAGTACTATGGCCTTACTTGTAAACATATCCAATGCTGTGATACAGGCCCTCTCCTATTCCCTCTATACATGCTTCCTTTGGGCTCTATTTCCAAACATTATAATATAAAATATCATTGATACGCAGCTCTATCTGCCATTAAAACCTGGTGACTGCTGCTCTCTGACGGCCCTTTCTGACTGTCTTGAGGATATTAAGAACAGGACGGCAACGACTTTCCTCCAGATTAATGAAAACAAGACAGAGGTAATGAGGTTTGGTCACTCAGAGTCTGTTCATGATCTCAGAGAACAATTAGGGCCTCAGTCAGCAAACTTCCGGTCACATACTAAATATCTTGGTGTCACCTTTGATTCATCATTGAGTTTGAAGAACAAATCAATGCTGCTGTGAAGGGGTTTCTCTGTCAGCTTAGCTCAACAGCCAGGCTTAAACCACACCAACAGCCAAAGACATGGAGACAGATATTCATGCTTTTATCTTATCCCGACAGGGATACTGCAATTGTATTATTTGCGTAACATTGTCCAAAACAATGTTTTTATCAGGTATTCAATTTTTATAGTATTATTTTTATATACAGCACTTTGGGACAACACACATGGTTTTTAAATGTGCTATTTAAATAAAAATTACTCTAAATGACCTAAAATACAAAAAGCATTCAAATGCATTTTGGGTCAAGACACTCACACACAGTCACTATGGGCACCTTTAGAGGCACCAATTCACCTGAGCCGTGGGTCTGTGGTCTGTGGGAGGAAACCGGAGAACTGAGAGGAAACCAGCATAGATACAGGAAGACCATGCAAACTGCCCACAGAGAGCTGGGCCAGATATCGAAACCACTTCTGAACATTCACTCCATCTCCAGTAAGTTTTCTGTATTATATGAACTGATGGTGGATAATGATGTTGACATGCTGTTTCTCCCTGTAACCTGCCAGCCACCACGGGATTTCTAGGCCCTGAATCAATACACTCCCACTAATTTTAGTTACATCTGTAAACCATGTACCAAGCAGAGTGGTGGCTCTCAGGCCAGGGATCTGTGTCAGCAATCAGAAGGTCGCTGGTTTGAATCCTGTGGATGCCAGCAGTGATCCTACTCCATTGGGCTCATGAGCAAGGCCCTTATCCTACAATTGTTTCATTCTGGTTATGATGTTAATCTACATCCAGCCCTGTAAGGAGGTTCAACTTACAGGGAAAATTTGGGGGTTGGTGCAGGATTGGCACTCCAGCCACAGGAAAAATACTTACAGTGGTCTCTTCAGACTAGTGTGGGGCTGAGGTATCACCTGCTGCCCTCAGGTTCTCATCCCTGAGGTGGTTTGTCATGTGGTGGGGGTGGCAACGTGCTGTAATCAGCGTGAACCCCCTTGAAAACCAAACTAGTGTCCTTTGCTATGCCTGCCCTTTGGTATACTCCTGAGCTTTGTTCTAAGAAACAGAAAGGCCATAGACTTGAGAGACTACTCAAGAAACCCACCTTACTGTCCATGTTGAGGCCTACAGAGAACACATTTGATTTAATCATTGATGCTTGGTCTCTTTAATCTATCCCTAGATCAATGTCATGCTCCTACTGCCTTCAAAGTAGCAGCCATCACCCTTATCCTTAAAAAGCCAGATCTTGACCCAACTAACCGTGTCTACCTCCCGATTTCTAATCTTCCCTTCTTCTCAAAAACATTGGAATGTATAATCTACTCCTAGCTTCTTACCCATCTTCAAAATAATAGTCTCCTTGAAGCACTTCAGTCTGGTTTTCACCACTGTCACAGTACAGAAACTGCTTTAGTTAAAATCCTAAATGACTTTATTACTTGTTGAAACAAACATTTGTGCCATAAGCTTTCTGCTTCCGCAACCTTCGACATAGTCTCCCATTTCACAACTTAGGAGTTTGTGGTGCAGTGCTAATTGGTTTATTTCATATCTCACTGACAGAAAATATTACATTACCCGATCAGGTAATAAATCAGACGCATCATTTATCACACATGGTGTCCCCCAGGGCTCTGTCCTGGGGCCACTGCTCTTCATCATTTAAATTCAACCCCTAGGCCATATCATTTGCCACTTTAACCTAAATTTCCATGTCTATGCTGATGACATCCAGATTAACTTCAGTACCAGCTCCATAAACAACCTGCCACTTGCATACATTGAATTGTGTTTCTGAAATCAAACAATGGATGAGCCAAAAAAATTTAAAACTCAAGAGTGAAAAGAATTAATTGTCTTTGGAACAAAATCCACACTCAACAAAATCAGGCCGATCACCCTCCAACTGGACAACACCACCATCTCCCCCTCTCCTCTGGCTCGTAACCTTGGTGTTACCTTTGACCCAACCCTCTCATACTTCTTCTGACTTCCAAAGCTCTTCACAACTAAGCCTCATCTTATCCTTCTGAACTATTTCTCCCCTACCAGCCTCCTCGCAGTCTTTTTTATTTTTTTATTTTATTTAACCTTTAATTAACCAGGTTTGTCCCATTGAGATCACAGATCTCTTTTGCAAGGGAGACCTGGCCAAGGTGGCAGCAACACAGTGACAATGCAGAGTCTTACAAAGTAATACAAGAAAGAAAAGAAAACATAGTTAGAATTTACAATTACATATAGATAACCTCGATTCCAGAGTCTTTAGAAGAGTTTTAAATTCCTTGAGGGGTTTTAGATACTTCCCTCCTGGATCTCTCCTCATCCCTCCTTCAAAACTCCACAGCTATGGTGACCGTGCATTTTCCCATCTAGCTCCCCGACTGTGGAACTCCCTCCCTACTGCTATACATCTGTCGATCTCGGTTTCAGATTTCAAACACAAGTAAAAACTTTTTTATTTGCTCAAGGCTATGATGTTCCTTACCTATAATATGCTTTGTTGTTTTATCTGTTTATCTTTGAGATCCTGAAAGATGCTATATAAATAAAACATTATTATTATTATTATTATTATTATTATTATAACAACAACCCTGGAGGTGTGAGGCCCCCACGCTGCCCCCAGTCTCTACCAGCTAGAGGTTAATTAGCTCTCCAACTAATTAATTAGCTCAGTGAAAGAAAACCAGGTCTAATCTCAACCCCTGAGGCTGATCTTGCCCTCTGATCTTGACCCCCTTACCTTCTCACTGTGGATCTTCAATATCACCCCCATGCACCCCCCGAGCCTCAGCATGTACTCCCGGCAAAAAAATAAATAAAATTTGGAAACTTGCGGTGAAATTTCTACAACAGAATGGCCTGGTTTACAAATCACTTATGACCTCAGTCTTTGCCCCCATTTCCATTTTTCAATGATTGCTACTGCAATGCTAATGCTATGTCACATAAGGCTGGGCAAGCCTCAGATCGGTCGGGCAATAAAAAAACATTGTAATAGACCCTTTGTTGGAATATCTGGAATGCCCTGTGATGTTCCCACCCCCTACATAATGCATTTTGATTGGCTGGTTTCTCTGTCACTCTGCACTATACTGTCCAGTAAGAGCTCAGAGAATCCCCTGGGCTGAGTGAGATCGCTGTACCTGCTGTATCACTATATCAGCCATCAATAGAAGGAGGCGTCGCTTTTAGTCAAACAGTTCTTGCAAAATATGTAACACAATAGATTCAGAGATTCAAAATATCTTATTATTACTGTACTTAATATTGGTAATAGTTTGCAATTGTTATAGCAATTGTTATATGTTGCAATTCATTATAAAAATACATTGACTTCTCCAATATGGCAGCGTATTCAGAGAATTCCCAGAAGGCCCTGACAGACCACCACAGGTCTGACTGCATGTCTGCTCACATAACGTCAGGTTACTTGACGTAATCCCTGGTTCTTCACTCAGTGTTTCACTATGGGAATCACTTTGGCCGTGACCAGATACAGAAGGACCAATGACATCATGTCTGTCAGTGATGGACAGGTTGACCTGAGACCAGGCTCCTCCCTGCCCTCACTACCCCAGTTGACCTCCCTGATGGGACATGATAGAGAGATTCCTTCCCATGCCTGTGCAAGGAGGGAAGTGATGATGAAACTCCCTCTGTTACCAAAGAACCAGGGATTATGTCAAGTAACACAAAGTCCTTTGCTGGGTGTCTCACTGTGGGAGATACAGATGGCTCCCAGAATGCACTGCAGTATCCCGAATATGCAGAATGTAAACACCCAGAAAGCTGATTCTTACACCGGTTCTGAGGTGTCGGCACAGATGGCCCTGAGACAGCCAGCCTGTAAAAACACACAGACATGTGCAGTGTAGCCCAGCTTGTCACATTACAGATATTGCATCGAATCGCACTGCATCACAATAGGGGTGAATCACATCGTATCACATTAGTAGTGGCTTCATATGTATCTTAATGAACCAGATTGTGTTGATATTGGGCGTTTCCATAGGGCGCCGTTCATAAAGTGGCACACTAGGGGGCGCTGTCCAGCAGGCTTCTAACAAACACCTAAATGACAGGCTGAAATCACAGTAAAATAAACCTTAACTGTAGAAATGTCTTTCAGTTTTTCCAGCAAATTGATAAGTTGAATTGTTTGATTTCACCAGATCAGGTTAGCCTCAGAGACAGCAATGGAAATGTTTGAGTGCTACAGAAACTGCAGGCACTTTCAAATAATTTACGTGCATCTGACGGGGGTAGGGGGGGCGCACATGCCATTCAGAGCCCTGCCCATCGTGGTTGCGCCCTCACCCCGACTGTCACTTCTTTTTCCCTTCCCCAGGGGGGAAAGGCCACAGCAGCAAAGGGGTCCACTAGGAGCTGCCCTCTGGCCCCAGCCTATCTGCCTGTCACCTCCACGCCTTTTACAGAGGCACCACTTTTTCATGTCTAATTCCGAAGCTGATACAAAACTACAGAGCCCCTGAAAGGACCTGTGCAAAAGAATAGAATGCTCTCACTTTAACAGCAACATCATTTTGATTTTTGATATAGTCTCTTTTTTTAAACAACAAAACAGAAAAATGTCTCCATGTATGCCGCATACCTGGATGCTCAAATATAAAAGCACAATTCTTCAACCGTGAAACAAATACAGACGTGGACAAATTTGTTGGTACCCTTTTAGCTCATTGAAACAATGCTTCATTTCTCCTGAAAAGTGATTCAGTTAAAAGCAATTGTCTTATGTATACCTGCATACCTTCAGTATGTGATTGAGTAAATCAATAAAATTGAAAAGAAAATGATTTGCTGTTCATTTTACAAAGATATGCTAAAAAACGTATGGACAGATTTGTTGGTGCCCCTAAACAGACTATTTATTCTTGCATTATAGTCATGTTTTAAACTAAGTGTTTAACCTTAATTAACATCACAGGTGCCTTGAAGCTTTTCATCAGCCTTTCAGCCTAGTTAAAGGCCACATGCGAACAGTTAAGTGAGAAGTGACAATCGGGGTGGGGTGCAACCATGACCTGAGGGATGTTATAGTTTCAAACAGAAAGTGCGAATGTCCCATCAGGGAGGTCGACCGCAGTATTAAAGGCAGGGGCGGAGCCTAGTCTTGGGTCAACCTGTCCATCACAGACAGATGTGATGTGATTGGAGCTTCCGTAGCTGGTCATAAGGGAAACCACCGCGAAACCAAAGCGACTCCCCTAGTGAATCACCGAGTGAAGTTAGAAAAAAAACCACCAGTGCTGCTGAAACAACCCCAGTCAGATCAATCACCGGCCTCACAGAAAAGCAAAGGGTACAAGAGACAAGGGCAGTTGATCTGCACTGACAGAGTCTTTGTACTGCTTGGACTCTAAAGAGAGACGTTACAGTATCATGCCGTATATTTGGATATTATACTTACAGTACAATATCAATAACCAGTTACATGCTACTTTTGTCATGTGTTAAGTATTACAAATTGAGAGAAATATTATAAGAACTAATAAATGCAAATTCTGAAGAATATGTTAATCAAAGCAGCCATTTCCAAATCTTTCCACAACCTACTTATAGCAATTTCTTCTGATGTAGCAGCAGATCTCCATCATGATCTCCAAACTGCAGCTGACAGTCTGTGAGGAGCAGGAGAGAGATCTCTACTCAGTACCACTGTAATGAGAGACACTCACCTGTGAGCCCAGCAATGAGAAGAAACAGGAGCATCAGAGGATCCATACATGTGTGTGTCACTGAGCCCAGATCTGTGGAGACTAACCCTCACTTCCTCATCCTCTGTACCTTCACTGTCATGGTCGTTTCTATTCTCACACACAGCAGGCAGAGTGATGGGGGAGTGGACACTTTAAACAGGAAGTGACAAAACCACAAGGCTCAATGTTTAGCACTTCAGCAAGACATAACATTCCATCACTCTAGAACATATCGCACCAATGCATAGTGTCCATTATTAATAAAATAAACATATCAGTACAAATAAAGAAGATTTTGTGAATAAGGGTTAATCTTTATTAATATTGCCCATTAGTTTATCCGTTCATCCATCCATCCATCGATTTTCTATACCTGCATGTCCTGTGCGTGGGGGTCCAGAGTCTATCCTGGAATCTATCGTCGTAAGGCAGGGAATAACCCAGGATGGGGCACCAACCCCTTGCAGGGCACACACACCACACACACATGCATACATATGCTAATATGCTAACCCCAGTTCACCTCAGCATGTTTTTGGATTGAGGGGGGAAACCAGAATACCTGGAAGAAACCACATGATGACACGGGGAGTTCGGCTTGCTTGGTTTCCTGTGTTAGTCATGTGACTTGTAGCTATTTACTGCACAGACCCAAATAAAGTGTGAAATGAAGAACTGAGGGGGAGAGAGACTGCAGAAAAATCTGTATTGTGGGCCAGTACATACTGTCAGAGGCTCTTGTTACCGCCCTGCCTTGCGGACCTGTTTCTTGCCCTTCACCGCCAGTGTACTTAGCCCCCAGTGTGTTTTCCCTCTTCTCCAGGCTGCCGCATGGGTCAGTGGGCTGAGTATGCAGCTCAAATACTGTACCCTTGTATTGTGGGATCAAGGCTGGTTTGAGATCAGTCTCACCAGAATTGTTTTCTGGATTTTTGTTCTCTACTGTTTACTTTAAGTTTCCATATACAGAGTTTCTAGAGCTCCTCCAGGTTTATTGTGATGCATTTCTGTGTATTCTTGTATTTCCTGGCGGTGTTTCCCCTAGTTCTTGCTGTAGATTCTTAGTCTTTAGTGTGTGTTAATTCTCTTAGTCCTGTGTTATTAGGCTTATTGTGTCTACCTGTTTCTTGTTGCTCCTGTGTCTCCCTTGATTGGTTCATTGATTAGGTTACACCTGTTCCTTGTTATCCCTGGATGTCTGTGTATTTAAGTGCCTCTGCTTTAGTCTGCCATTGTAATGTCAAGGTTGCCCTGTGTTTTGCTTGTATCCTGTCCCTGTGTTACACTGCATCCTCATGGTTTGCCTTATGGTTTTTGTAGCTTGTTTTAGTATTAAGTAGTGATGGCAAAACGAAGCTTTCCAAAGCACTGAAGCTTCCTTTTCAAGTGTGTCGAAAAATGGTTCAGTACTCGAAGCCTTCCGAAATGGTGACCATTAGTGACACCAAGTGGTCAAATAAGGAAATGACACTTAATTTTGAGTGAGTGCCCTGAATCTGAATATTTATAAATTGGCAAAAATTCAAACGGTCTGTAGTGCGTTATGAACATTAATGACCTGGTGAAATTGAATGTGACTTCTTGTGGACTGGGAAACCATTGACTTAACTGGGAAGGGGTGCTTCTGTAACGGAAGAGGGGCCATTAGTCTACAGATTTTTATTCAGGAACAGTATTTGTTCAACATTGCGGCTAAGTTGGTTACGTTTTTTATTCACCACTTCTCCTGCTTTGGAGAATATGGAACGGAGGACGCTGTAGTGCATAAAAACTGTACTGCAAGTT